CATCTCGCTCATTGCTGGAGATGCCCCCACCTCACCAGATCAGAGCGATTATTTGTAGCTTGATCGTGGCCGCCTCCGTTGTCTGCCGTGTGATATCCCGGTGAGGGATCACGCCGCATGACACTTTCCAAAAGGACCGTGTTATTGATCTCCCGGGCCGGGAGCCCCCGTGTTTACGGAAGGGCTCTTTGGATCGATTTCCTTGGTTACGTGGGTGAGGAGTAGTGGCAGCGTGGCTGCTTCTTGCTCATCCCCAGAGGAAATAACACTGTCCCACACTCCCCACCCCCTCTGTAAACTCCAGTATAGGAGACAGTAGGTGGGCGCGTGCACGTGAGTGGAATAAACAGAAGTGCTGTCAAAACACTGTGCGGGTTCAAGAGAGAGTGATGTGTGTGTGAGAAACGCATTCAGTGAAAATGATTGCATTTATCCCAGAGTAAGAGTCATCTCTCTCCACATTTCCACTTTTCACCATAATGTCCGTTTCAAAGTGACGGCATTAGGACAGAGCCGCGGCCCCACGGGAGCGTGCCGCGGTGCGTTCAAGGACCTCAGTAGAAAATCGGCCCTTTTCTGTGTCGATCCCCATGCCAAAACTCCCTTCTTATGGAAAGGTTTGGCAGCGGAGTAGGCCACCAGAGAATACTACAGTTTCTTAGCTTTGGCTCCACAGCTGCTGGCATGTCCCCTGAACACAGTTTTGTGGGGAATGGAAGCCCCACAAAAGCTGTGTACTGACAGAGTATAGGGGCAGGACACTGAGACTGGGTTACGGCCCCAGCCCTACACACGGCGGCGTGCGTTGCCGCTTCAACGCTTCTGCCCATTCACTTTGAATGGGGTGACGTCACGATTCGCCGAACTGCATTGTGGGAGCAAAGCGTAGCTTTTCTCGCGGTGTTCGCTGCAAAAGTAGAGCAATGTTCTACTTTTGACGCCTCGACGGAGGCATCAGCCAATCAAATCCTGTGTATGCAAATCTGCCAGTACAAGCGCTAGCCAATCAAACCGCGTGTATGCTGGGAGAGCCAGACCGCAGTTCATTTCCTCATATGCCAAAAAATGGAGGAGAAAATAATCGTAGCGGTAGGGAATCACCCGGTGCTTTATGATCAGTCTCTGTTCACCTACCGGGATACAAACCGGAGGAGCCAGGCATGAGGGAGGTGGCAGAGACAGTGGGTGAAACTGGTAGGTTTTCGCCTGTTTGGGGAGTTTATATCCAGTGTACTTCGTTTGAATGGACAGCTAGCAGGCATAGACAGTATATAGCCAGCATGGAATGTTGCGTAAAATAGCACCATAGGCATTAATGTAATAAATGTTAATCATATAAAGTGTGACATGTAAAACCTTTTATGCATGCAATTGACAGGAGAGATTCATGTGATTGGTTGTTGGTCGCGTAAACTCCCCAAGCTCAAGACACGCCCACCGCCAAGCAGCAACGCACGCCGCCGTGTGTAGGGGCCCACGGCGGCGTGCGTTGCCGCTCACTCAAACTTTGCAGCGTCCCTCCTCCGTTCAGGGGCAATAGAGGCATCGTTCAGGGACCTCCACAGAAGAACAGTGGGTTACATAGTGTAACTCTAGTTCTAGAGTGATATGTGTGTGTAAAATGCATTCAGTAAAAACAAGTGCATTTATCCCAGAGTAAGAGTCATCTCTCTCCACATTCCACATTTGTGCCGATGCCTGTGACGGAAAGAATTGCAACGAGAGAGTTAATGTGGTTACATTATACTGACTTCAACATAGACTATATTAAACATTTTAATTCTTTCAGGGTATGGGATTACCTATCCAACATTGTTTTAGTGATAACTGTTGTTTTTATTTTAATCATTACTAACTAAGGTGCCAGGATCAAGAAATCAATGAATAACGTCTTTGTCTAAAGCAATCATTTGCAATATTAGTAACTTGACAGAGGGATGTCACTCATTTTTTGTAATTTTGAAACAGCTTAGGCTAGGCAGAAGCATACATAACAACAGCTAGCATTTATAAAGTGGCAGAGGAACACATGTGAACACACTTTATTTACTGTCTCCATGTGTAAAAAGACAAATGTTGGACATTATAATTAAACATGTCACAAACATTCAGTCGTATTTTTTACAGACAATATGAGAACTGTACTTCAGATTCTTTAAAGATTACAGCTGGGGCCAAGGGCCGGACAATAAGTCAGGCCGGGAATTATACACCCAGCCAGGCCACTACCAGTTTTTTGTGCCATTTTGCTGGATTTATTTGTCAATTTTTACAGCGTTGCTGCCCGTAGTGATAGCCCTCTAAATCTACTACCCAAAAATAAACATATGGACATGGGTTACTATTTTAAAAAATGTGCAAATCTATTTAGGAACCTATGTGAACATATTTTAAGTGGGGGTGGACCTCAAATCCTATAGGGGGGTCCGGGGGCATGCCCCCCCGGTATGTTGGACTTAAATGCATCAATCTGGTGCATTTTGAGGGGGAAATAAAGAAATGAAACCCATATGAAACATAACTGTATACATTTAAATAATCATAAAATCATAAAAGCATGGCCATAACCAATAACATACCATATCCAATATGAAAAAACATTGAAACTTGTTTATTTATTTGTTTTTGGTTCATTTATAGTTGTGAGTGTATGGGCTCCTGAACCAGCCTCACCTGTCTCGCTCCTCTGCCCCCTGCTCCTCTTTGAGGCAGAAGCAAAGACTAGTTTTAGCTCTCAACAAGTTTTAATAGTTTATCTTGCCTTTTTTCACCTAGTTAATGTTTTTTTTATTATTATTCATGCATATTTTACTAATCACTCCCCCCTCAAATGGAAATATGTGTTTACATAAATGGTGACCAAACCGTTTGAGACCCACAGAGATAACTTAGACTAAGTTAACTATCTAAACACTCCTTAAACAGTCCTTTACCTCACCTGAGCTGTAGTTATCAGTCTCTCAGTCTGACTGGAGAGGACTCTCCCCCCACCTTGTTCTTGAAAAAGCTCCTTATATCCGTTAGCGCAGCTAGCTAGCACCAGATGCTAACAACAACAATACACGTAACCGGTGCGTGCTAGTGATGGGAATTCCGGCTCTTCTTGGTGAGCCGGATCATTTGGCTCAGCCCACCAAGAAGAGCCGCCTCTTTCGGCTCCCAAACGGCTCTTCAGTTTACCACATATTATACCTTTTAATTAAATCAAATGTAGCCCTGTTTTGACTAATGATTTATATGTGTACACATATATCACTTAAATTATTCAATACATCCTTTGTACTGAAGTATTCAAAAGTAAAAATTACATGTTTAATATAAATGATTTGCTGTGGCCAATTGTTTTCATTGCATTTACAGACCGGTGTAACTCTCTGATACCACCCAATGAATGCATTGACTTGCTTGTAGAACCACCCTACACAAAACAGATAGCAACACCTATAACAACTATTTAAAAAAAGGGGCTGTATCGACCTATATAAAGTATATAAATATAGTTGTTTTTTTCAAAATACCAAAAAGATCCTGCATTTTAGCCATGCCTCATTTCGCTCTATTTGCTCTTTCCAGCGCTGTTTTAGCAGGGGGCTGATTCTGTGAGCTGCAGCTGACCACGACCCCTGCAGGAGAGGGGAGCGTGCTTTGAGATCAGCTGCTAGGCTGCAGCGGGGAGAAGAGGGGGACAAAAAGAGATCTCCGTCCTCCGTGTTTTATTCTTATAGAAGTAAGAAGAGAAGTAATGGGGCAGAAACCCTCCTTTTTACGCAGCGGTCCAGAGATAGACATCAAACGGCGACACATATTCAGTTGCCAGTTACTTTGGCATTAGGGCAGGGATATCTATATACTTTCCAAGGTTTGACACAATGAATTGTGCTACTTTTAAAGCAAGCAACGATGTTTTCAAATATGTAATCAAAAAGCTCCTCAAAAAAACTATCGAAGCAGTTCCTGCCGTTGTTACGTTAGTACAAACAGTAACAACGGACTACTTTTCTTAGCGGATGCATGTCAATTTAAATCAATACATAAAACTATTTTTTAAATCAATAAAATCATTTTCTAAATCCATAAAAGCATTTAAATGAATATTGGGAGTCATGTCGTTACTTTGTTGAGAATGTGGCCATGTGTAATAAGCGGGATAATGTGCACATTGCATAATGTGCCTTCATGCCGATCTAGATCCCTCCGCAAAAACAAAACAAAAAACGGCTTGTTCGCGGGCGAAAGCCGGCTCCCGTCGTTCACTTAAAGCTCAAAGAGCCGGCTCGTTCGCGACCGACACATCACTAGTGCGTGCGCTTTGTCTCACTCGCGCCACACATACACTAACACACACCCTCCCGAGCTTGAATGACACACAGAGACCAATCGAGGGCATTAGTATGATCTGTATAAAAGTGGCCATGTCGGCAGGCCACATCATGTATACAGCCAGTCACACTCTGTGAGGCAGAGTCAGACCCACATTTGCGCAGCGTTGCGTTCACAATACATACATACAAACAAAAATCCTCAGGCCAACAGGCCACTTAACAGGCCAGGCCATCGGGAAACCTCCCAGTCCTCCCGATGGCCAGTCCGGGCCTGGCTGGGGCTTCAATCTTATTTTTCCATGCAGCCTCTCTCACTATGGCATCCGCCTCCTCCACTCTTCCCTGGGTGATCAGCCATCGAGGAGACTCTGGGATGAACCTGCACAATCGATACAGATTCAACATTACATTTCTAAATATATATTTGAATTATCACATCATGTTGTTAAACCAGGAGTTTGACTATTGGCAGATTGTCAGTAGGCTACATGACTTTATAAATGAGAACTATGAGTGGCGTACCACCACAGAGGGATGTAGACACCAGCAGTTGAGGACAGAACTGCCAGAAGAGTCCTCCATTCTCTGATGCCGTATGCAATCGAGGGTAGGGTCATCATGTACCCAATGCAATAGAAAAGGAAGGCTCCGAGAGTTGTGAAGAGTATTCACATTGTTTTACTGAAAACCTCCGTTCCTGCCCGAGATAAAATCAAAGTTGTTGAGCGAATAAAAAGAGACACTTCGTGATCTATTCATGCACAAGGCACAATCATTTCTACATAAAAGATCAAACATAGGAGGAGGATCATTTTACAATTCTTACCTAGCACAAACGCAGAAATATAGAGGGAAATCTGGGAAGCTCCGACAAAGAGGAACATGATGCAGAACATCTGCCATGAATGAGAGAAGGACTGAAGCATGACTGCCACACTCTGGGCCACGAGAGAGATGAAAACAACCTCCTTCCTCCCAAACCTGAAAGAAAAATAATGTTATATCATTAACAGTGATTCACCAACACGTTCTCACTCCCAACTCGTCACATATTGACGGACGGTCAGGGCCCCTCCCCGTCACACCATTACGTACAGGGTAACCCTTGAGCGTCAGTTTTCAACGGGCAGGGCGTCCCATATACCTTCATAGACCTCCCATAGCGTTGATAATAGACGCCATGAGAATGCTCCCCGCTGCATCGAAATTCAACGAGCGCATTCCGTTCTCAGCTGAAGCATATGGTGCGAGACGTCATTGCAACACATTATGCTCTTTATATATAGTTTATACAAATGACAAAATTGTAATTTTCATACTCTGTGATAGGCCTCGGTGACAGTTAGGCAAAAAATAATAGGCTTATAGGCATTTTTTTCTCTTATGTGAAGTTGAGATGATGCATGCTGGGTAATGAATTATTTACATGGATGTACGTAATATAGCCAGAAATTGTTCTACAATTGTGTCTGATTTCCAGCAGGTAAGAACTAACTAACTAACATGTGACAGAAATCAAGAAAATCATTCAATATTCAGCACAAACAGCCTTATGTCGGCCCAATAAGTCATTGTTGGAACATTTGCAAGTGCAGGGTAGTCGTCTTTTTTGCCTGTAAATCATTTTAAGACATTCAAAAAAGTATAACTTACTAATGTGCAGAATGCTAGCTAGCTGCTACTAGCTATTAGCTAGCACAGAATATGTTGCCTTTGAAGTTTAACTTTATTAAAACGACTGACACCTGTTATTGCATGAAATAATATTTGTGATTGTTTATGAATGTAGGTATTATGTGTCAGCTATGTGTTTTTAATGGAGTTATTTATTAAATGAATAACACAACAATAAAAAAAATTAAATAATCATAAAAGTGCACTAATGCCAAGCCCCTTAAATATTAGGTGACCTGTATTTGTCAGATAAGATCTTACAGGTTACAGTCATAGGGAATTGTATGGTTTCCATTAATAATGTATTTCCAGTTACCCATCTTACCATAGCTCAAAACTGTCTTTTTGTAATCATGCTATGTTGATATTGTTCATTCTTTGACAAATATAACTCCACTTTAAAATGTAAGGTGTTCAATTCCTAATTGTTTTTTCTTCTCTCAACAGATTATTCTAAGTTATTCTGAAAGCCAAACTCCATTACAAGCTATAATAGCATCAAAACAAAGGCACTTTTAAGAGCCACGCCCCCTTCGTTTCCCTGTCCTTGCTGTTGTGAAATTGTCCTATCTCTGTTGCTGTCTGTGTATCTCTGTCTGTGTACCTGTGTCTTATCTGTCCATCTTTGTGTTGTTAGTCCCTTTCTGTGTTTTTGTTTTTGTATACTTTTGTCATGACTCAACCTAAATTCAGGCCCTGCCCTGCTTGCCAGACTCCAAATCAGGCGAGCAGGAAAACATGCAGTTCCTGCAACGGAAGCCTGTCAACCAAAATTAAACTAAAAGAAAAAGTGGCATCACTGGATAGTGAATGGGGCCAAGGTGTGGTGAAAAACAGAAATGTTGGACGTATACTTGATTCTGCCCGTATTGCAGTAAGTACAAATATTTCATAAGTTTCTGTCAATTGAATTGAAACTCCCTTTTTTAACATACTAAAAATATTAGTACATTATGATCAGGCCTTTGAAAATATAGTCTTATTGTCAGATGTTACATCTTACAGTGATCGTATTTACCTCTTTGACCCATCTGTGTGATTGTGATGTTTAAAGGTTGTAAATATTTTATTAGAGTCCCACCATAGACTGTTTATATAAATGGACGTAGTGTCTGTGACGTCACCCATAGGATTCTGCAGAGTTGCCGTGAAGCCCTTAGTAGGCGGAGTCGACCACTAACGGCTTGACAGCAACGTCAGAGTCTAATCCCGCCTGCTCCAAATAAGGGCAAAGAGGCGGAGCCGAGGCGGGACCTGCTGCCTCCGAACTGGAAGTAAACAGAGCTAGCTCAGGCTAAGAAGCTAAGCTAACATGAAATACATGCATACCAAGTTACTGCTAAGTGTAGTTCCCCTATATAAACGTTACATTCATAATCAAATGAGACAATCTGCAAGAGAATTAGCTATATTTTGTTATTCTTAATGCTTGTCATTCACACGTTAAGAAAATAAGTACCGATACATCAGAACAATTGTGGCGATGTTCAGCTTAATAAGCCTTGTTCAACATAATTTATTTAGCTAATACTACAGCAGGCGAACCAAGTCTGCATTTCGCTGCATTCCTTGATCTCGTTATAACGACGGACTCCACCGCCCGGACCTAACGGAGCCGCAGTGGGCTAGCTCCGGGACGCCAACTGGAGCTAGCCCCCTGCGGCTCCGTTAGCTCCGGCGGCCACCACTGGGATAATTGGGTCCCCTATTAACATTTGCTCCCGTTTAGCATTATGGGCGTCATAGCCATAGACTATAACAGTCTTACCCAAGGCTGAATCATAAACTAAAATGTATATGTATGCATAAAAGGTTACGTCCTTAGCTGGCTAATAAGTAACAATCTAAGCTACCAAGCACACAAACACCTGCAAACGGGGTAAACATGTATAATATTATTATTTTAGACTTCTTAGAAGTTCTGTTAGTACATTCAAGCGCATAGCACGACATTTTAATTGTCTGGTATTTGTAACAATATTCCCTAAAAGGCACAATCACCACGAAAACGGCTAAAGCTAAAGGGTCAAGTACAGTACTATGACTAACTAAACGTTGTAGCTAGCCTCTATGGTTGTAGCCTAGCAGAGTGGACAAGTTGCTGTTAGCTGACAGTGAGGCATGTACGTGTCCATCAAAGTGACCACGCCCTAATTTATGCAAACACTTAAAGACCTAATATAAATAAAAGGGTCGCGTTAGAAAACAATTCACTCACAGATCCATAATCATGAAGGTGGAATCTAACTATATCGATAATAAAAATGTATGGAGCCAGGGGTAGAAACATGTTTTTTTCTGCTGTAAAGTTGGGCATTTTAACATGGGGGTCTATGGAAATTGCTCCTTTCTGCAGCCATCGCCTATCGGCCAATATATGAACTGCAGTGTGTGGCACTTCCGTATTGGCGTCCCGGCTCTTCCCCAGAGTTTGCCGCTTGAGTCCCACACAGTGTTTTTGGTACAAAAAAGAGCAACAATGCGTATTGTTCTTTGTAAAACAATGATTTTGCTGTAATGAAGGCAATGGCAGAACCAGCAGGTGTACCTTAGCCCTTGCATGCAAATAACAATTAGTCTTACACAATGCAAGATACCTTCATTTTGCTTGTATAATAATCCAAAATAAACAGTATTAATGGGTTTAAGGTAGCGGGTCAAACAAATGTGTGTCAACTGCTTTTGTTCATTTCAGGTGCTGAAACTGGAGGCTGTAGGCTACAAGCCCATTCTACTTTATGGCAAGCCAAATAGGGCTTCAAATAGGTGGGCTGCTAATATAATAACCCATCTGCCCCCCACTCCTACCAACAAAACCCTATTGGACAAAATGCAGAGGTGTTATGAATTCCTCTTGACAAAGGGTAAGAGTATTTTCTTTTTCAAAAGATTGTGTTAAAGGTAGGGGTAGGTAAGATTGGAGAAACCAGCTCGAGTGCGCTAGAATTTGAAAGTACACTCTAAAAACGAATTCAGGCGACCTTTCACCTCCACTTAATTAAATGCATGGTTGCAAGATAAAATGTGAGTTAATTGATTTAGATAAACATTTTAAGTTGCAAACATTAATTTATAAGTTGTGTTGACGTAATAATGTTGGTAATTACATCAACTTAATATTGTGTGTAATTTGAACTCTGATTTCTGCGTTAATTAACTTAAAACTAAATTCAAGTTGTAGCAAGTAATGCAATTGGCTTGATAACTTAATTGTTCTACACCTTGAGTTAAGGATTTCAAGTCCACTCCCACTTAACATGCCTGGACAAGTTCCCACAGTTAAGACAAATAGAAATATACCAAGGAAATGTTAAGGTGAGTGTCATCTTTTGTCATTCAAATACAGTAGATAGCCTTGTAGTTGCACTGTATAGGCAAATAGCTGTTTGACCACAATTAGCAGCCTTTGAACTGTGAATAGTTCTGTGAGAGGATACAAAGTAGTAGAGGCTACTGTGAGAGTAAAAATACTTTGGTTACTATTGTGATATCGCTTTTTATTCAAAATGAATCTCGGTGAAGCAGATCAAGGACATGCTTCTTGAGGTAGGATCATTATTTAGAGTTGTCATTGAAATGCAAGTTGTTGGCAGTCACCCATTCAGAATATATTCATTTAGGTCATTTCTCTTTTTTTCCTTTTTCAAAAATAGCACAATACAATTGAAGTACGCAGAGAACTAGCCATCCGCTGCCTTGTCGTGTACCTTGGAGAAAAGGAAGAGGACCTTTTCAAGGAGTTTAGCGACGTAATTAAAAATTTTAAAATAAAATCCACGGGCACAGTGTAAAAACACAGGACAAAAGCACTGCTCTCTGTCAGTTACATTTTGAAGCATATTGCACTTTTGGCCACACCCCAATCAATAATTTCTGAGCAGCGTTCAGCATGGATAGATGTTGACAGCAATGGCATGGGAAAAGGATTGAAAAGGATTTGAAATGTGGCTTCTGCTCTTCTGCTCCAGTTCAAGTATTGTATGGAACCTGCAAAAAAGATGAGAAGGTACACTAAAACTTGTACGTTTGGGATTGACAAAATCTGTCCACATGCATTTAAACACTAGGCAAAGTACTCAAAAGCACCTCTGTGTGTCTTCAGGACCACATTGCCATGATGACACACACACATGCAGACTCAATAGGTGGAAACAATACCAGTGTTGCTTTAGCAGCTGGTAATAATGGCTCTGAATTAGCTAAGAGTGACAGTTTAAAAAGTATGCAATTACCTAATTCATTATCTCTTATGCGCTAACCTATTATTTAATGTGCTTCAAAAGGACATGAATATCGCCTTCATCAGT